CCTCCCCCTCTCTCTCTCTCTCTCTCTCTCTCTCTCTCTCTCCAACAAAATATGTACATTTTAGTCTGTGGCGCTTTCCTCTCCATTTCTGAAAGGTAAGTGTAGTAGTATAAAATGGAACTAAACTGAGCAACAGTATGATTATTTTTTATTTATTGATCTGCAAATTCTTACACAGGATTACTAAACTGTCGTTGATAGTGACACTTTAGCAATGGGAGTTAGTGCAGCTTTGAGGCTATGCAGCAGTATACACGGCGTTTAATCACCTTATTGTCAGTTTGGATGACATTCCTTCTTTGTCGCAGCCTGTTCACCTCACACCGTTTACAGCACTGTTTCTATCTGAGCAATCTGTCACTTGTGGCTTCTATATAAATTAGTATTTTTTTAATGACAGAATACAAACCTTGTTTTATTGCATGAGATTAGGTTGTTGGATGTGCAGTGTCCTAACACAGACCAGACAGTCATTAATCTGCCTGAAGACTAGCAAATCTAGCAGTGTCAATGAAAAATCGGCAGTCAAAGCCCTTTCCCTTCTCACCTCATTGTATATGATAAGAAGACTTCCCCATTGAATGAATTGTTGTTATGCCAATCTCCCGGCTTGAGCTATGAGTTCTGTGTCTTCACATAGTGATCACAGGAGGTTACACTTACCATTAGATTGAAAAATAAGTTTGAAGGGCAGGTCTGGTCAGTGAGGGGATAATTCAAGGAGGCAATGATCAGACAGATATTGAACTGCGATAGTTGAAATTATATATATATATATATACACACAAATTGTTATTATTATTATTTTTATTATTACTACTACTACTATTATGATTATTATTATTATTATACATTGATAGATTTCTACATCAAGCAGTGATCTGTGAAATCAAGACATTTTTAGAATTCTCTAAGTTTGATACTCAGTCAGCCTATAGATAGAGGAAACCATGCACGTCGCTACACCCACTGCAGCCATCCACATACATATCCTAGTCGACACTACTGCATAACAAGAGGCTGTACTATTTGTATGAAGTTACACCAGAACAGAATGATATGATAAATCTGACCTTATATTACAATCACAATTATTTCAACGTTCAATATCTGAGAATTCGTTCATACGTCAACAGCAATGTGAAATATAGCACAGCTAGCTCAGGCAGGGGATTGAAGATACATTTTCAGAGCTTGCTCTATAATAGGGCTAGCTATTTACTTGCATCAGGGAGAGAAAGCGTCATTTGTCATAATAAATCTGACACTGCATCACAAAATAATATGACAGGGAGATATTTACATAACTGGAACAACCAAACTTTTGTCTTTTCCATGGAGCCAGGAATCTGCTTGCCAATGGCAACAATTGCAGAGTTACTTGAATTTCCCTTGCTCCTGTTTTTGAAAATTGGATGCATTTGGGCTTTGTATGTGTGTATGTATTTATGTTTAATTCACTCTTACTACCCAAAATATATGAACGCAGTTTGAATGCTCAGAACACAGATATCAGCAAATTAATTACGGTCATTTGCATCTACAGGGTGATAGCAAATTAAATTATTGTATTAAAAGTAATTATTTAGTTAAAATATTGTAAATAAATTAGTAGCACGCGCTTGAAACTAATTTATTGACCTGTGATCCGTTGTAAGATAATAAATGCAGTTGTATGAAGTATTTATACAGAACGTTATGGTATCATTGTAAATTCGTTTTAATACTTCATGATTTAGAATTAACCACACAGCTTCTGTAAAATGTATATTTTATTACAAAGAGTGTAGGACGATCATGTAACAATAATATATGTAAGTAACTGCCCTTAGCCTAAACAAAATATTCATAGTATTATTGATATATTGATGTTTGTCCACCAGTATGTGGTTTCACAATATATATATTGTGAAAATATTGTCGTCGCTATAAATAAATATATATATATATATTTGCATACCGCATTACTCTCATATTTGTAATCTTTTATTTATATATACTTATTTAGTTTTTTCAGTGGTATGATTTGGTGGTGAAAATTATTAGTGCCCCCC